CCCCCCCCCCCCCCCCCTTCCCTTAGCAGGATATCAGAACTTGAGCCGCCTCAAGGCACAGTTTCCCGAATTCGGGGTTTGTGTTCAGGACTGCAAGGGTGGAGGTATGTGGGAAGCCTTCAATCAACACTCCGCCAGACCCTAAACCCAAACCCCAAACCCTAAACCGTACTCAGCCATTCCAGCTCGGGAGCCTCGCTGGTCTAGGCATTAGTGTTCCATCGCCTTAGGATTTCGAATCTAGAGTCTGTAGCTAGATTTAGACATTTCGGACTATACACTTGGATATCTTGTAGGGTTTTCTAATAGTTCAACTGGAGTTTGAAGCAATGGCGGCTACAGTTTCTCGTGTTATTAGCCTGCTTTCAGTTGCCCCTGAATCTAAGGCCTTACCCACAGTGGAACTCAGGACTGTTTGAGGTTTCAGCGAAAAAGGATCAGGGATCATGATTTCGACCGTAGGTCGAATAATGCTCCACAGGTGGATCCTAAATCAGGTGCCGCCGCTGTTTTCTGAGAAACCTCCGTTTTGTAGACAGGGTATACCGGACAGCTGCATGATATGCCCCTCGTTCAGGCGGCAGTCGACCAGGGGGCGGGCCTGAAGGTGGAGCTTCTGGAACAGACCCTGAACAAGTATCAGAAGCAGGAGACCTCTACTTCCCTTGCTTTGGGCTGCTTTGGGTTTAAGATTGCGAGGAGTGTTTGTGAGTTCCAGGTTTGGGGCTGTATGTGCTGAGTGCTTAGTCATCTCAAGAGTTTAGGGCCTTGCGATGTTGAAGTTTTCAGAGTTTGCATTTAGGCTTCCTTGTGGGCCCTAAACCCTAAACCCTAAACCCTAAACCCTAAACCTTAGGGAGGTTAAGACTTACAGACCTTGGGGCTACCGCCGGGGACATCAGGGCCCCGGGCTCCCAGAAGCCTTCAACATGCAGCAGGAAGAGCCCAACCACGAAGCAGAGAGATACACCAAGATATATCAGTGGAGAGACAGAGAGAGAGAGAGAGAGAGAGAGAGTGAGAGAGGAATGGGCGCCCTTTTGGCAGGGAGGGAGGGGGAATACCGCTGCTTCAGGCCTTCAGCAAGCAAGGGAAAGAGACACAGCCATAGTATATATATATATATATATAGAGATAAATACATATGTATGCAATAGATAGAGCCATAAAGTGGCCCTTAACCCAACAGAAAGAGACTCCGATTAGATGCAGCAGTTCAAGGCTTTTGGGCCTATCCCTTGCATGCCGGGCGCAGAATTTTGGAAGTCAGGGCAAAGCGCCAGGGGTTTAGTTCTGAGGATGCATAGCTTATCGGCTTAAATGCCTCCCTACGGTTTAGGGCCCGGACCTTCCAATATCCTTTAGTTAAGGAGTATCCGACTCAAGTTACATTAAGATCCCTAATATGGTTGAAGGTATGTACATTCACCCTAACCCCTAAACCCCTAAACCCTAAACCTATTCCTTAATTTAGGGATCTGGGGAAGGTCCAAGGGGGTTCAACCCTCAGGACAAAGCATCGCACCAGAACATGAAGGAAGCGCTGGGACAGTGCCTCGCCTCAGTTGGGTTTAGGGTTTAGTCTTGGGTTTAGTTTAGGGCTTTGGGCTTTGGGTTTAGGGCTCAGGGTTTAGGGTTTAGGGGTTTCGGGTTGCCTCAGGCGGGCTTGTGGTCAAACGTTTACATAGAGTGGCCAATGCACCTTCAAAAATGGGATGTAAAGAATAAAACCTACAACCTAAATCCTAAACCGGTTGCTTTAGGTTGTACGTAGGGCTACGCTGGCAGCCCGATTTTCGAGCCCCGAGCCGAAGCTGTTGGACAAGAAGATGGCAACCCTAAAGTGCACCAAGCCTCTGAAGGATTTGGGAGTTTCCAACAATTAGGGTACCTTATTTTGGGGGTCCTTATAATAAGGGGCCTACTATTTAGGGTACTATATTAGGGTCCCCTTATTTTCGGAAACTCCCATTTAGGGATTACCTTTACCCCAAATAACATACCAATTTTAAGGACTTAGATTAAGGAATCAAAATAAGGAACCCTGAAGAGGTAGGTTCTTTAGGGTTTAGGGTTTAGGGTTTAGGGTTTGGTAGGTTCTTTAGGGTCCAGGTAGGGGTTGGGGGTTTAGGGATTGCTGGTTTAAGAGTTTAGGGATTCAGGGATTAGGAGTTTAGGGTTTAAGGGATTTAGAGGCAATGCTGGCAGCCATCAAATCCGGTTTCAAAACAGGGATTTAGGGATTTAGGGTTTTCGGATTATAGGGGTTTAGGTAGATGAGGCCCAGTTGAAAGTTTCCGACAGCGACAGCGAGAGAAGATGCTTCGTATTTGTACACGGTAGGTTTGGTATGGCAAGGACCCCCCGGATTAGAAAACGAGGGACCCTCGATCTTGCCCTACATCACAGGATCTTCGCTGTAGTGCCCCCTGAAAAAGGGCACCCCAAGTCAACCCAGAGACTCCAGAAGCCACTTTCTCCCGTGGAGCTGCCCCGTAGAACCCTCAGCCACCCGAGACTCCCGAGAAATTGAGCCTCTAAGCCAGGAATCCCTAGAGCCCTGAATGCTGCATTCGAGCTCGGGTCTACCGGATTGTTCCTAACAAGCCGTAGCTTGCTAGCTTCAGTCCCTGGCAGGGGTAACCCCAAGGATCCGTATAATCTAAGGGTTCCTTTCGGGGCTACAAACAGGATTTACTATAGGTAGCATGGATCCAAGTATCTGCTTGCATAATATATTCCAGTACAGGGAATTCATAGCAACCTCTTTGGGGGATACAGTAGAAACTGTATACAGACATGGACCCGTAGGGTCAGGCTGTTGATAGCATAGCTATAGTTTTCCTCGGGGCGTCTTGCTAAAGCTGTACTATAATACCCCCTAGACCCTATCAAAGGAAGCTCACAACTTGATGGTTAGGTTTGTAACTGCTGTCGTTTCACGCCTCCCAGTCTCGTCAAGTTGTATAAGGGCTTTATAGGATCCTACAAGGGGATTGTTATGTTGGTTCTTAGGATGTCGTTAGTTGTCGCCCCAAATAAGAGAGATCTGAATCGCTCTGCTGCACGCAAAGCACTTTGAAACACCCCGGAGAGCCCAAGACTCTGTAAGTAGGGGAGATTCCTTAAGCATCCTTAAGCCAGAAAAGAATCCCTCTAGAATTTCATGTTTCTTTACTGCTGAATGTTAGGGTAATTGGGCTCCCAAGGCACGCCTGTAGTGCTTAAGTTTCAGCAGGGTTTAGGGTGTGGAAGGGCTTTGGGGCTTTTATGTTTCGGGCTTAGGGTGTAGGGTCATATCTGCAATGATAGCTGCACAAGGGAACCCTCAACTCATATACCTCGCATGCCTGGAAGCTTTCTTGCGGCAATAGCCCTAAACCCTAAACCCTAAACCCTAAACCCTAAACCCTAACCCTGAACAGAAATTGCGTCGATTTTGCATGGAACCCAGAGGCCCGAACTTGTCAGGTAAGGATTCCTCGATCAACTTCCCCTAAGGGTCCAAGTACCTAATAATCATATACTCTTGTCTTGTGAATACTAACCTACAAGACTACTATCCGTAACCCAAGTACATGATTGTTAGGTCCTTTGGACCTTTAGGGTTCGGGTTTAGGGTTTAGGGTAGCCGGCTCATATTTCTTTGCGCACACCTGCGCAGAATCTCATGGAGCCCACATCTTCAAGTCGCCTCTATCCAAGTACATCCAAAGGAGGGGCCCGAATCCCTGAGTTAGGGTTTAGGGTTTAGGGTTTAGGGTTTAGAGGCTCCTTGTACTAGTATCACACCGACTCTTTGGAACCCTTGCCTGGCTTGTCCGAGATGTGAGAGCGTACAGCCCTTCTGGACCGTTGACGCGATGACCTGACAGATGTGGTACACCTTCCCAGCCTCGACCTAAAAGCCCTTACCCTAAAACCTGGACCCTGTCACAACCCTGAAACTGTCGAACCCAGGAATTGGTGCACCATTCTTCTTGCCAGGCGGGCTGTTCGCCGAGAGCTTTTCATCCGTAGCCTTATTGAGCCCTTAACGGAAACATATCGCAATGGTGGGAAGTCATTAGACTACTCTCCGTCCCACTAGAGTACCTGCATATTTATGGGCCTTGCAATGGCGAGGAGTTTTTTGGTTTGTGTCGGGTGTCGTGTTTAGGCGTGCAACAAGGGTTGTGGAATGTATGGATTCAGGGCCGTTTAGGGTTTCAGATGGTCCTGCTTTCGGCATGGGGCTCGTGTTGGACTTATGGCTACACTACAAACTTCGGATAGAGAAGCCGCAAAACGTCAGTTGAGAGCCAAATATCTGTGCCTTACATGATGACATTGAGCCGCCTACAACTGAAAGCTTGTACCTTAAATCATGTGATTGAGACTGCTCTATGGTAGCAGAAGGTCCCTATATATACGTCAGTTCATAATATGTGAGCCTCCCTATAGATGAAGGTCGATACCTTCAAGCACAGTATTGAGGCCCTTTGAGCTGAGGGATGCTGAGGGTTTCGAGGTTTAGGTTGGTTGGTTGGTTGGTTTAGGGTTTAGGGTTTAGGGTTTAGGGTTTAGGGTTTAGGGTTTAGGGTCTATGGTCTAGGGTTTAGGGTTTAGGGGTTTAGGGAGAGGGTTCTGCGAGCATGTCATGCATGTTCGTCCCTTCGAGCTTTGGGAAACAAGGTTCCAGGTTGTTCTGTCCGACCTCCTCGAGACGACCCCAAGCCAGAGTAGTATAGTACCTATAGTGTCCATTGTCGTTCCTTTTTGGGGATGCCTTATTAAATCCTTATTAATATATACTTGGTTAAACCAAAGAAAGGAACTACAATGGAGACTACAGGTAAGGGCCTGAACACCGGATTGGTGGATTCATTTTCCTCAAAGGGCCTCAGCTTTTCCGAAGGCTTCTCGTTTTGTTGTAGACTTTGAGGGGGAGCAGAGCCCTTGCAACAGGGTTCCGAATATTCAGGGTCCCAGCGGGCTTTCTGAGGATCTTCTATCTGTTGAAACTCGCGCATCAACAGGCAAAGCAAAACCCAAAACCTCGGTCTGCCTCTAGACTCAGAGCCCTGTGCCGCAAGAGCTACCGCCGTCAAGAGAATCAGAGCTCCTGCTACAAATTTCTCATCTCTGATCCCACATCGAACCAAGAACTGCAAAGCGATTTGACCTTCTGTTCTGCCTTCACACCTCCCTCGATGCTATGCCTTCAATCCGGCAGTCAGGTCCGGCTTTGCCGGGTCAAACCTGACTCAGGCATCTGGCAGCCACACAGGTTCCTTCGACTAGCCGCCCTTTGTGTCGTGTGCGTCACCCCGAGTCAGCTGCTCCAAGCAGGAGCACGTCTAACGCCGATATGCAACCCGAGCTCCAAGATCAAAAGGAGCGTGGCGATCTGCATATGGTCATGCGACCTGTGCCCGATGGAATCTGCGATGGCCCAGGTGAGACCATGTCTACAAAACCTGTTTCCTAAAACGAGAACAAGCTTGGTTGTATAGCCTTGGAGGCGCCACGGCGCCATAGCCTTACTGAAGGTCCTGGATGTTAATCGGATTCCTTCTGCTGCTCCGCCAGGTGCGAGAAGCTAGCGTGGAGCGGCGGAGACTCTTTGAGACATGCCGCTGGGCTGGAATCTACATTCCCGCCTCGGTCTTGTGCATGTAGCCTGCTGAGTAGCGTTTGCAGTACAAGTGCATACCCATAGGCCCATAGGCCCTAAAGTGGTTCCTTTTTGGGGTTCATCTATAGAATCCTATAAGGTAACCCCCAAAAGGAACTACTATGGGGCCTATGGGTATACACTTCAGATGTACTCGGCATGCGAAAGTAGTACGGGACCCCATCATGAAGCTGTGGCCTGCTCGAAGAACTGCATCGTTTCCGCACAGAACTTCAGGTGAGGACTTGCATGGACAATGGCGATGATAGTCTGATAGTCCTTCCTACTGTTGATGATATAGATCCTGCATCACCTTGAGGACCCGAAACTATGGGAATTATTGTATATTCCTTATATTATGGGAAATGCAGGAGAGAGATCAGCAGCCGTATCATCCAATCCATCTAGTCCTTTCCCGATCAAACCGCAAGTCCGACATATTACGAATTCTTAAAGACTACCCATAGGCCCCATAGTAGCTCCTTTTTGGGGTTCATATCTAGAATCCTATAAGGTAATCCCAAAAAGTAGTTGGGGCCTATGGCTAGCTGCTGTCATCACCCTGAACCCAGAGGCCTTTAGGCCAGAGCCAGTGTCCTCGCCCGGCTGTGCCCAAGTGCTGCGAGCCCGGTCGACCAAATCCCAGACATCCAAATCCACACAACCCTCATCAAACCCAACTCGGTTTAGGGTTTAAGGCCCAACATATTGTCCGCCTCTAGTCCTACAAGTTGCTTACGGAGCAAGTCCAACCAAGAAACTGAAAACGCCAGGAACCAACACGTCCGCGAGCCAGCCTACGGGCTCTCGCGACACATGCGGAGAGCATTCTGGGGCCACTGACGGGTCAGGCAACATGGCTTGGGATGAGTGAGTTAAGGGTTTCTGGTCTTTACGGCCTCGTGAGGTAGCTCTCTTCGTTTTATGGGGCTCTCGTTGTTAAGGCCCTTCTAGCAAGTTGGACTCAGGGCAAGGGTTTCGGCTTCCCTGGTTTCGTGTCTTGGCGTGCAAGGGTTTAGGGTTTAGGGTTTAGGGTTTTGCATGTTAGCAGTTTGGATTTCGGTTTCGGGACTTCGGGAGTTTTGGTGTCGGTCGGTGTGCGACGTGTGTAGGGGTCCTGCGCGAAAAGCGTTGGATTTTCAGATATGATGGAGTTGCTTCAACATGTACGTAGAGGCACCATGTGAGACTCTGAGAATAAGGGGAACCCTTGTATCTAGGCCCTAAATACCCTGGACATTAGGATCTCTGAGATAGCACAAATGAGGGACCCATATTTTATGAAGGCTTCCATGTGCCGTTGCCGCATAATTGGATCGGGCCTGCGTGAGGTCGGAATCTGCAAAGAAAGCATTTAAATTTAAGCATCCTAAGCAATAGCTTGTCTGATGGGGATTCCAGAAACCCATTGTTGTGACATGGGCTCGGGAAGCATGCGAATTTTTCAACGTTATCAAGAGGAGCAACCACCTATACACTGCTCTAATATTGTATCATGCTGACCGGAAGCAGGGTCGCCACAGACACGTCACAGGTGCCGCAGACATTTTCTGTTTCATGCGCCTGATACATGAGTAAATTCGTTGGGTTCTCATGCTAGCCGGACCGGCGCAGACCATCCCAAAGCTACGCAAGCCTGTTTTCTCCTTGTCCAGCAAACCAAAATTAAACCCTCAACCCTTCCAAGACCTGCTGAAGGCGTGCCTTGAGCTGCTCCTGAGGTACTTCAGCTCGAGGAAGAGAAGGCCCCTCAGACTCAGGCTAAGAGCCAGCCGCCCAAGAAGCCGGCTCCTGCAGCCACTGCCAATGCGGCTCCTACAGGCTCATGCTTTTTGGGGTTTTGGGGTTAGGTTCCAGCACGGGGTTGGTGCTCGGAATGGCAGCGTCGCCATTCTCACGAGGGGACTCTAACTGCTGCTGCCCGGTGTCTGGATTGAGGGCTGAGGAGCAAAACCCCATGCCATCAAGCATTAACGCGGAGAGGGTCGATCCTCAAGTTCGTTTCTTAAAGACGTGTCGAACGACCTCGTAGGGCTCAAGACCATTCTGATAGGATAGGTGGGAGTGTAGGAAAAATTCAGCGCACACCCTAACCTCGAACTTAAATTACATTCCCATCAGTCAACCTTGGGCCCTCAGCTTAAACTAAAAATCGCAAGGGCAACTAATCATCTTTTGATTGCACCCTAGTGATGCACGAGAAGCTCTCTCTCCAAATCTCCAGCCTGAGACAGACCCTACAGCAGTCCCAAGTTATTGAGATTTGTTTGTGGCTCATAGGGACACTTGTTGCCACCGCTCCATCAAGCTCGTAAACAGATTGGCACAATCGGGCTTTAGGGTCTCTATTCTGGGAGCAGTGTTCGGCGTGCCTATATATATATATATATTTATTTATTTATTTATGTATATGTATATGTATATGTATCTGTACATGTATATGTATATGTGTATGTCTGTATATGTATATATATATATATATGTACATGTATATGTGTACTTATATGTATATGTATATGTATATGTATATGTATATGTATATGTATATGTATATGTATATGTATATGTATATGTATATGTATATGTATATGTATGTAGGTATGTAGGTATGTAGGTATGTACGTAGGTATGTATATAGGTATAGTAATGTAATGTAATGTAACGTACTGTAATGCATTGTAATGTCATGCATTGTAATGTAGTGACAGTTCGTATGTATGTATGTATGTATGTATGTATGTATGTATGTATGTATGTATGTATGTATGTACCTTTGTATGTATGTACGTACAGGTGTGTGTGGCTCTATAGATGGATAGATAGGCACAGACCTATTATATGAACGTGTTTTCAACTGATAGTTGTCGATGTTCTATTGAACAAATACATATCAGTTTGTTTGTGTGCTTGCTTGCTTGCTTGCTTGCTTGCTTGCTTGCTTGCTTGCTTGCTTGCTTGCTTGCTTGCTCGCTTGTTAGTTTGTTTTCTGGATTGCTTGATTGATTATTTGATTGATCGGTTGACTGATTGATTGTTCGTTAGTTTGTGTTTTTGCTAGTCTGTTTACATGTTTGTGTGTTTTTGTTTGTTTGTTGATGTGCTTGCTGGCTTGCGTTTTTGCTTGTCTGTTTGCATGCTTGTGTGTTTTTGTTTGTTTGTTGATGTGCTTGCTGGCTTGCGTGTTTGTGTGTTTGCTTGCTTGTGTGCTTACTTGTTTTCTTGTTGGTTGGTCTGTCCGTGTGTTTGTCCGTCCGTTCGTCCGTCTGTCTGTCTGCTTCTTTGCTGGTATATATAATGTCCGTCTTGCTGGCCTCAAAGCTTGCGGTGTCGGGTTTAGGGTTTAGACCCGTGAAGCCTCAACTTCGAAACCCCCGCTGCCGCTCGTCCAGGTCGAGAACGCAGTCGCAGCCGTGATGCGGGGGTCCGCGTTCCAGGACATTCGCACCGCCGTGCTGACACTTTAGGGTTTAGGGGTCAAGGTATAGGGTTAGAGTTTAGGGGTTAGGGGTTTACAGGTTTTGGTTTAGGATTTAGGGTTTAGAGGTTTAGGGGTTATGGGTTTGGAGGTATAGGGTTTAGGGGTTGACCGCCCGACTCGTCAAGTGAAGAATACCAGTCCTAGCTATATGGGAGTTTCCGAAATTTAGGGGTACCTTAGTTTGGGGTCCCTATAATAAGGATCCTATTATCTAGGGTACTATATGAGGGTCCCCTATTTTCGGAAACCCCCATATAGGTTCTTCTTCACCCCGTAGTGCAAGACCGCCCTCGGCTACGTCGGACCACAGTCCCCTGAGACAAAAATCCCAACACACTCAAGACAAGTGGGACGTTCCGAAAATAAGGGGTACCTTATTTTGGGGTCCTTATAATACCCTAACCCCCCAGGTACCTACTATATAGGGTACTAGAGCCCCTAAGGCCCTATATAGTAGGTACCTGGGGGGTTAGGGATAAGGATCCTACTATTTGGGGTACTATATTAGGGTCCCCTATTTTCGGAAACCCCCAAGTTTGAAATGCCGAAAGTCCTGAACAAGAGACCCTAGATCCCGCAACTCCTCACAGAACCCTGAGTCCAGGACATTTTCAGCTGGGTAGTTACCGTTATAGGAGCCTTATAGAAGGCCTATATACCTTCTGGAAGCCTTATAGAAGCCCTATATACCCTAAACTCCCCACCTGTAGTTTCCTTTAACTGAGACAGGGAGCCCTGAACCGGAACACTCAACCTTCCGCGAGTTTGAAGGAGGATCTCCTCCGAAACGGACATCCACAGAACTAGCGAAAACCACAGACGTCCCGATGCCGCCGGCTAAGAAAGCATCGAGGCTAAATAGCGTTTAGGGCCAAGGGGTTTAGGCTTGAGGGGTAGGCAAGGCTCTAGGGTTTAACTGGATCCTTGTCGGCTGCAATTCTACATGTTTGTGTTAATAAATATCCTATAAGAATTAAAAATCAATATAGCCCCAACCTTGAACCATTTAAGTTTGGAGGACAAGTGTAGAAGTTGACGAAATGCTGATTCAATTTTGGATGCTTTCAGGTTTTGGTCTTTAAGTGCTGAATCAGCTTTGGATGCTTTCAGGTTTTGCTCTTTTGCGTAATTTGCATCGGTGCTACATCCAAAGAGGTGTGGGCAACAAATTCTAGAGCCATAGGTAGAAAGCCAAAACTGATCCTAGACCGGATTAGACAAGAATTGCCGACACCGTCTGCCCGCTGCCGGCATCTCCTACTCGCTGAGCGTGATGCTGTCTGCGAGGCCCTAAACCCCTATGAGGAGCCAAAATAGAGCATGCCGCTCATGTAGCAGCCCTTTCAACCTCGACCTGCGCACCCCCTCGAAGAAACCGGGGTTGACCTCTAGTCTCCATGGTAGTTCCTTTTTGGTTAACCAAGTTTATATTACAGGATCCTAACCATAAAATTGGTTAACCAAGAAAAGGAACTCCAATGGAGACTAAACCCTAAACCCTAAACCCTGAACCCTAAACCGACTATAGGCAGGATGTAGGGAGAGCCAGAGTCTCCAGAGGCCAGGGTCTCCGCAGACTGCAACTGGAAGACCCCAGACAGCCCAATACCCCTTAGTTAAGGAATATACTTTAGACCATAGTATTAAGGCCCCTGTACTTTAAGGTATATTCCTTAATTAAGAGGTATTGGGTCCTCTAAGACTGACAGGAGCTGTTTTAGAAGACCACGGGTCATGTCCCTCGTTTAGCTCACCTGTGTGGTAGCTCGGAGCAGGCAAATGCCATAACAGCTGAACTATACTTGGTCAGAGGTCTGGAAGGGTACGATCCCAAATAGAAGTCGAAGTTCACCCTAAAACCCGAAAGCCCTGCATTCTCACACCCTGAAGCGTTTTGGTTTCCTCCGGGATGGGGCTGGCTTGGATTCGCAGATTGTGGAGCCCGGAAACACTGAAGCCCAAAAACAATCTTTCTGATGAGCTTCATATGGGAGCTAGGTTGAGGAACCCTGAATAATTCAGGGGCCTTAATAATTGGAGTAGGGTTTGG